TTARGTTTTATAGATTTCGCTGACGGCTGTRCCACTTAAGTGGAAAAAGAAACATTTTCCGATGCTCACGCAAATGTTGCACTATTGCTCTGTCTTCCACAAACTAAATACATACATAYATATATTTATAGAAATGCCTAAGAGTATAAGTATGTATGTATATATARGTATATAGAGAGCTGCTGGCCTGCTCTTACCTATGCGCCGCACAACAGCGCTTACTTAAGCAGAATCATTAGTCGTGCTTGAAGTGGTTGTATAGCATTTGAAATGTGTTTTGCTTGTGTTTCATTTTCGGTTAGCTGCAGTTGCACTCAGCTGCCACTTGACAACCATTGCTGCAGATTTTCTCAGCTCGCGCAATATTGCTGGCTTGAGTTGAGGTAGCGTCAGCGAAAACTGACTGCCACTACGATTCGTAATGATTTCCACAAGTCGTTGTATTTTGCTCCCTTTTTACCGGTACTTTGCGCCCTTATTGTACTGAGTGTTGGTTCATGTTTAGMATGCTTCTTCATGTTTAGCATACCGACACATGCTTAGCCGCTAGCACAACAGCTGCAATTGCAAATATTTCGCCACATTTGATTTCACTCATTTCATTTCTCATAGTTTCTACATCTGTTTCCTCGGTTATCACCTTCCACTCATCGGAAAATTTTAGCCGCTACTGCAACTTAATGAATTTTTATGTAGGCTATAGTATTCATGCTATGGGCACCAGCAGCGGGTCGGCCCCACCTTTCGTTGTGTTTGCCTGCAATCATTTCGATTTATACGCAAATATGTCAAATGATGAGGCAGAAAATTGTTAGAAATTCTTAGAAATCTCCTGCAGCTCTGCAACACCGTTCAGCCATTAAATCAGCTGTCGATGTACAATGGTTGCACGAATCATAAAATGACAAAAGTAGTAGAAATGGGTAGCTCTATATTGAAGTGCCGAAGTTAGCTGCAGACCAGTTCAGCAGGTTGGCTTAATTTGCAGAAAATTGTCGATTACACAATTTCGATTTACTGCCATTGATAAGTAAAATTGTTTGCAAGAGACCGTGCCTCGGTCAAAATGTATTTATTACGCACTTATGGAGGGAGTGCGCACTCCACACAGCGTAGGTAGGACAGATGAGAGACCTTCGTGTGGAAGTTGGCTCAACGCATGAATGTCGTACACAATAAGTTACGTCTAAGTCTCCAATCAACTTGTATYAAGTAGGCGTAGTAGTAATAAATTATTTATGGTTARAGTTGTACAGCTGTTTAAAAAWAAGTGAAAACAATGAAGAAATTCGCTATATTTTGAAATGTTTGTATAAACAAGAAAAAATGTTAACTTCGGCTGCACCGAAGCTAATATATCATTCACAGTTGCTTTTCTTTTAGTAACTACATATGTRTTCAGTTTGTATGGCAGCTATATGCTATAGTTAACCGATCTGAAYAATTTCTTCGACGATTATATTGTTGTCTTAGAAAATAATCCATACCAAATTACGTGAATATATCTTGCCAAATGTGAAAGTTTTCCTTACAAGCTCTTGATGCCGATCGTTCAGTGAATTGTCTATGAAAAATTTAATGGTTCGAATTAACATTTGCGACTCTTTGCTGAAACGAAATGAAATCAAGCCATTTCTGAAGCGAATGGTAATAGAATACGAAAAGTGTATCAAATACCACAACAATGTGCAAAAAAGTCCATGTTTCAAGCGTGGTGAAGCTCAACAATTGGCCGTAAAGCCAGAATTGACGTCTCGAAAGGTTATGTTGAGTGTTTGGTGGAATAGGTAAGGCATCATCCACTATGAGCTGCTCCAGCCTGGTCGAACGATATTTTACATTTCACTGTCAGCAACTGATGAGATTGAAGCAAGCAATTGAAAAAACAAAAAAACACAGCCTGAACTGATCAATAGGAAGGGCTGCTTTTTCCATCAGTACAACGCAAGACCACACACATCTTTGATGACTCGACAAAAACTGGGAGAGCTTGGCTGGGAAGTTCTGAAGCATTCACCATATAGTCCTGACTTTGCACCGTCACTTTACCATTTGTTCTGGTCAATGCAGAGCTGCCTTAGTGGAGTAAAGTTGATCTGAAGAGAAGCCTGTGATAATTACTTGTCGCAGTTTTTCGCCGAGAAACCAGAAAAGTTTTACACTTCTGAAATAATACCTCTAGCGGAAATATGGCAAACAGTGGTCGACCAAAATTATACATATTTGGTTCATTAAAGATACCTTCGACTACCCAATATTATCAAAGTCATCCTTTCCTACTGGGTTGCACTAAACAGTATTTTAGCTGCTGGTAGTCTGGTGTGGGGCGCTGCTAAGTTAATCTGCTGATGCGTGCACATTAAATTCTCTTTTTACGAGTTAACGTTTTTTACGACTTTTTCATGAGTCATTATATGTGGGTGCATGCCTGATTGGTTGCGCATTAATTTTTACTTAATAACGTTCAAATTTACTTTTAAGTGTAGATTGGCTGTAGAAAGTTATTGTTATAACTTGTATGTAATCTGTAAATATGACTTTTGTGGCGCGAGCAGCTGTGCTGTTTTACAGGTGAAGACTTATTTCGAAAGTCTCCATTATTTCTTAAATTTGGTAACTATGTGTTCAACTGCACTCATTCAGAGGTTTAATAATTTCCAAATCATCAACCGAAAATATTAAATTTAATGCGATATTTGTAACAGCGTTGAAGATCCAATAGAGTATGTGTATAATGAATAGCGTGTCCAGGTGAGTCGATTAAGTTAAGTTTGAATGTCTGTTCGTCTGCAGTTTTTGAGATATCGATCTGAAATTTTGTACACCTCCTTTTATCTCCAAGATGCTGCTTTTTAGTCGGAATCGCGTGATATCGGACCGATGTCGATTATTGCCCAATATAATGCTACACTCTTCCAACAAATACCTCATAGCGTATCACTATTGCATATGGCTCTTATATAAACTGAAGTTCTTGTATGGAAAATTTTTTATTTGTTATGACAGCTTGGATAATAAATTCTAAAAAATAACGAGAATATCTTGGACAGTTTATAATAACATATAACAAAATCGAAATGCAATAAATATAGTCTCTTTGATGCTTCAAAGGGTATTAAGTACATTGCTTCTTATATTTCGGAACTTGGTAATCCCAGWGTTGGAATCTGGCAACTCATAACTTTATCGTAAAGTTTGGAAATTGTGATGTTAWATTATTTGTCTATTTGTTATTKGCCTTRWTTACAGTAACTTAAAATGTACATCTCTACCATAGAATGGAGTTAAGTTTCGAACATTTAACTCAATAAAAGTGRATAAATGAACTTAATTCAACTTTGRCRAGGAAGGTCTATCAAAAACCAKTGTTCGTCGATAGTRTGGTGAAYTTAATCGACGTCGTAGAACATTCTAAAAAGAATTAAGGGAAGGTCATTCAAAATCAGTTGTTATTCTGAATACCACTGAAGCTTTGCACAAAGTGATGATGTTGATCCCTTTTTTGGAGATCGAGTATACGTCTAAGTGACACACACCGCTTTTGGATTAGCCCCACGCTCTAATTTAACACAACAACCTCTCAGGAAGAATCGAATATGCGTATACCACTCTAGCACTCAAGTCTTCTTGAAAGTCTGTCAATTGAGTTTGTTTTTATATGAACTCGTGGTGGATTCCAAGTTACCATGCCTAAGTGAATATCAGCACGCTTGATAGAAACATATATTCCACTCAATCAACGACAACAAAAGACAGGCTTTAACAAACGGTTAATCTCTTTGTGATAATTAATTGAGTGTAAATAGTGCGGCGTGTCAAACGATTAACTGCTCGAATCGCTTGCGGTGAGTACGGCCTTACAAAAGCGTARACTATAGATGCCAGATTGCCGCAACTAATATGCGTGTGTCAGGGTTGTGCGTTATTTCGCTCTACCACACAGTTGAAGACCGTTAATTGACTTGATTATTCTAATTCATTGAATATTACRGTAACTTTACAGAGAGCAGCATGCTAACGTGAGCTTTTTATAGTCGTACCGTACTATGTTGAGTCAGGTACTTAAATGTGAAGTGAAGAGAGCATGTTTGCAAATTTTATAATAAAAATGTGGATCCATATATTGATAAATTGGATCTTAGGTTTAGGATCTTTTACTGAAAAATTAAGAATTTGAGGAATTATTCAAAAAAAAAATGGAAAGGGAGAAATCAAATGTTGGCTTATCCAGAGATGGCAGTTGGACTACTCCATGCGATCCCTAGGAAGTGCTGAGAACTTTCCGTCTAGTCTTTTTCCAAACAGCTGTCGCATCAGGGACGTCGATAAGGCAAGGGCTTGTAAGGACCCTACAACTATGGAGAGACTAGCCTTACTAAAGGCAAAGAGCTTGCTGTTTCTCTTACAATCGATCTTGGGCCAAATGAGTCTTTTGACAACACATGAAGTAAAGGTAACCTAGCGCATGTCAAGTTTCAGTGGAGCACAGCCATCCAGTAGGAGGTAACACGAGAAGAGGGGAGCAACGATCCGTTCTCTTCTACTGATAGCGTGGCTAGGGTATCCTTTCTTGTCAACCGATCAGCTTTACAGCTCTCTGTGGTTCCGATAGGGACAGGCACGCATACTAGTCTTTGATCATTGAGAACTCAGAATCTTTTTCCGATTGAATAAGACAATTTTCGTACCGAGCCAATTTTAATAGAGGGGCATTCTGGGCCACCGATATATATGTGAATATGGACCGTGAACATTATTGAAGTCATCGCAGTATCTCATATTTTTTAGTTTGCTTTTACAATTAATGTTTACAGAATATCGATGTTTTTGGAACAGTTTTTGCGTCTGACGCATAAATATAAGTTCGTTCATCGAACAATTTCACTATTTAATTTACAGCATTGGCTATAAAAACTATCATGAAGATTCACSCCTTTTCGCCCATTTCCTTTTATTGCTCTATTTCGTGTCAGATGTGTCATGTTCAGGGAAGCACTTACCTGTCACGGTGCCATGCCGTGCTGCAGAGGCAGCGAGATTCCTGGGCAATGTCATGCAATCACCCATGGAGACACCTGCGCCACTAGTTAGCAATATATTGCCTCGGGAGTCCAGCAGCGCCGCCGTTATGTTAGTGCCACCGCTATTGCCAGAGTTGCCACCACCTCCGCCTCCACCCGCACCTGGATTGCGTCCGTAGTTCACGGAGTTCGTGTGRTGTAATGCGCTGGCCTTAGGGAGCGTCATCATGCCGGCATTGTACGCGATATTGCTGGTCATTGTGACTGCGCYGCCACCTCCACCGCTGCCACCGCCGCTTGTAGCGATGCGTCCGAATGTTTGCGTATTCATGCCTTTGATTTGCATGTGCTCTCGTTGAAGCTGTTGCTGCTGTTGTTGCATGTGTTGTTGCTGCTGTTGTTGTTGTTGTTGTTGTTGCTGATGCTGCTGTTTAGTTGTCGTGCTATAAGTCACGTTGCAGTTGCCACCACTGCCCATTAGCCCGCCGGATATGTCTGGCGACCCGCTGACCATAATTGAGCCGCCTTGTTGCTGTTGCTGTTGCTGCTGYTGCTTGGCGGCCGAGGAGGCTATGCCACAGAGGTCAATACTGCTGCCACCAGCTTGTTGTTGTTGCACTGAKGCGCCCATCTGCATGCCGGTGTTGGCGCAAATATGCGATGGCGGTGGCTTCACATCCGCTGCATTTGCGGCTGCCGCCGCGGCCGCCAGTAGCATAGCGCCYGGATCGCCGCCATGATTCTCCACATCTACAATAACATTTGCACTCTGCGAATGGCCCATGTGGTAGTGTGCGTGCTTGATGGGATCGGGCGGATAGGGCACTTGTTGGTGCATGCTGCGCTGCTGGTATTGTTTCTGCAAAGTCTTCACCTCCAGCCGCGTTTTGTCGCGCTGATAGTAGACACCAGCGAATATGAGCACGTTGAGGATGAGCAGACTGCAACCGATGGCGATGGTAACGCTAAGTGCGGTGGAGTATGCCGCATAGCCGGCTGCCTCAAATCCAGAGGACAGTGAGTCGGTCGATGAGTTGGCCAGCGTGTTGGGAGCGAAGGCACCACTTGTGGCTGCGCCAGCACCGGGTGTGTAATTGCCACCGACGGGTATGCATGTTGTAAACATATTCGGCTCTACGGTGGTCACTGCAAAGAAACAGGCAAGAACAGTATAAGAGAGGGGTTAGTGACTTCAGAAGGTAATATTTTAAATGGAATTTTTAATTGAGCTGTGTTGCTTGTGATACATGAACGTGTTGTAACGGGCAATGGCGAAATCGAATTTATGAGGTATATTGGCGCGCGAGTTTATGCTCCGTGGATAGAACGACTGACTCTTAATTGGGGAAATTGGGAGTTGTTTTGTTCTGTAGGCAACGTCTTTATTTGCACGCCGTGTCGAGGCGGTTKAGGCTTCATGTGCTAGATTTGGAGCTAAAGCAAAGAGTGCGTCGCAAAAACATCGGTKTCGACATTGACAAACAAATCTTCAGTATCATAGAGCTCTGAATAATTGATGGAAACATTTACGTGGAAGTTAAAATCTTTGCGATTCAGCTGTAACCCGAATAAAACTGGAATGGTTTAATTTACCAGGGAATGCCAGACGTGCATCTCCTTTTATTCAAAGATTCGCACCTTCAAATCGCTGATAAGGTAAAATGCTGGGGTACTATCTTTGATGGAAAACTTTTACGATTAAATTAGGCATCGGTTGTCTTAGACTGCAGYAGGGAAGCTAAAGGGAAAAGATAGGGACTCGCACCAAAGGCTGTGTTTTGGCTCTACAAAACCGTAGTTAAGCCGAAAACWTTATTGGTTGTGTATTCATCTGGTATTGGGCGCTCGAAAAGTTAAGCTCGCTTAAAATCTAGAAAGCGACCAAACAGCAGCACTCTTCGGCATACTCGTATTTGGTGCACTGCGGTCTACTCCTAAAATGACACTCAATGCTATTTTACACATAACGGATAATGTCGTTCCATTCCTTAGTTAAMTGTTTGAAGTCTCAGAGAAGCTGASTATATAAAGGAGTACGAACAGGCCCTGAAATTCTCTCCTCTTTCAATGACATCCTTGAAAACTTAGACCAATGCGATGCTACCCGCTTACATCGGAGTCGGAACWCCATTGTCATCTTGCGCTCCAGCAAAGGGCCTATGGACCTCGTGCGCGTTGGTTGACGACCAGCTTCTATACGCCTGCCAGCTCCTCCTAGTCTAGAGTAGAACCTAAGATATCCACTGAATTGCCTGCCTTTAGCAAACTTCATCCTGGAACAATCGTACGTGCTCCTTGAGAGAGAATTCGCTCTCTGCAACGTGGGGTCATAAATACCACTTACTACTTGCATTTAATTAGCGCATTTTAATTCGAGCCGCCAACAAAAGCTAAAGCGAGAAGCCACCAGTAAAAATGTAAGTGACTATACGTACTCGTAAAAATCGATGGCGAACACTTCAGTGTGTTTGAGCGGCACGTCGAGTGCGCTAYAGCTGCAGCTGCATCTTTAATCGCTAATGCTGTTGTAAGTACCGCTTGTTGTAGCAACTCATTTTGTTGTAATTTACATTCCTCATTTTACATAACTGTAATTGCTGTTGTTGTTACTGTGAAGGCATAATGAACTTTGCCAGTGAAGTACCTAGRAAGACTCTCGACGTCGCCGCGCTACGCCCACACTGATGGACCGTTGTGCACTCACCGGCCAACAAGTGAATTAATGATAATTGCATTTGTGGTGTGGCGAAAAAAAAAGTTAGGCAAAGAGTGATTCAGTGGACAGTGTGAAGGACGCGCTCAGAGCACTAGGAAAACTAAAGCGTACTTTATGTAAGTGAAAGTTGGATAAAAATGCTTTRGTGTCTTTTTTATTAATTGGAAAGAATGTCCGACATTTGAGGTCATTTATCTAATCACTTCGCTGAGCGCGAATGCGTTTTTCTTTACGAGATCTTTCTGTGTGGCAGCTACACTTACTGGAATACCGTTGAGGTGAAGGGGATGGATTCAGCGACTAAACGGAAGAAGTCTATTTATGCAGCAATTGGAGCATTGCGTTGRGTATTTTTAACTGCTTTCTAAGTTTGCTAATTGAAAATGTGTCTAAGAAAGAYTGGAAAAGTTAAACATTTATAAAGGTAATACTTTCAGAAGAACAGAGATTGAAGTCATGAATCTATGCAGTTCCAATTACTCTATTTTAATGACTTTCCAAAAGTAGAGGGAATAGTGGCTTATACAGCGGGACTTTTATCGTATGCCCATGTGGTAGTAGAGAGTATTACTTTGGTTCTTCTCGGAAATGCGAAAAGATGTTTTAGCAACGCACTCATGGGAGAGTCTGATGTAGTTTTTTTTTTTACCGAAAGCAAATAGAAACAATCCAAAGTGTTCAGAAGAGTTTAGGTCTATAAGTTTAGCTTTATTACTGCTGAATGCATTAGAGAAAAACTTGGATGGGCATATCAGCGGCGAAGCTTGTTCAAACATTAATGACAGATTCGTAGATACTGAACTCCATACACCATTACTGAACATTGAATAAACTGTAGAATACAAGGAATATGCTCTTGGAGTGTTCTTGGACATCTCTGGAGCATTCTRCGGTATCCATTCTGCATAGTGTAAAATCAATAAGTGTTAATCTGGCCACACAATGTTCGATCAGAAGCCTCTTGATTTCTATATGGATAAGATCATAATAGAACGGCGCTAAAATGACTAAAAAGTTGGTGGAGGCACTCCGTGGGGTTGATTGCTATTTTCGCTTTTATAGACATTAGTCATTAGTTAAGGAACTTAAACGGCCCCAAAAGATAGTGTCACAAGAAGATGGCATAACCATCTTAGTRACGGGTACACACCCTTCGCAATATGATGGCCGATACTCTCACTATAGCTCAGAATTGGGCATCGCAACCGGATCTGGGGTTGAGTTCAGAACAAATGGACCTGTCAGTGTGCTTAAGGAAGTTCAAATTCCTYCCATGGAGATAGACTTCGTTAATTGGACACAACTCTCTCTCAATAATCGTAAAAWAATACCTTAGGGTAGTCTTAGAACTACTAGGTGGCCGATGCCAGCTCTTGCATTAGTGCTAAACTTTGCATCTAAAGACGTCCTCTCTGAAAGCTGCACGGAAAAATCAGAAGACCGACCGTTGGCTGCAAGAACATTTACACATAGAAGCCTCGGATAAAGCTCGGTAGGGCTTTCTTACAATTCGGATAGGAAACAAGCAGCAATCAAGACTTTAACMTTGCTTCCTGTATAGGCCAATAGTGTTTTGGAAAGAACGGCAGCAGTGGAGAGTGCCGCCAGAAATAAGTAGCTTCACATCTACTGGCTGTCAAGTCACAAAAGCTTGCATGACAATGATATATTGTTGTGTACGGCTGCCACGCGAAAACGTAAACAATCTGGGTAAGAGCATTTCACGTAAAATCGAAAGTGATGGAACGATCCTTTTGGGTGCAAGACTTTAAAAGTCATCTGTAAAAAGGTAGAACGAAAGTAAACAAAGTTCCTAATGGAACTCTGTAGACGGGAATGTAGGAATATGATTGCAGTACTTATGAACACGATTTCGGGGCTGCATAGAATGGGGCTGATAATTCGGGAAGATTGCAGGAAATGTCAAGAGCAAGCCACAGGTAAACATGTGACCATAGTATGTCTACTACTCATGGACTTCGTAAAGGAATTAGATCTGATATCGTAACGATTCAAAACTAGCCTATGCTAAAATTAACTTAGCCTAGACAGCTTTACGTTAGTTCCTTTGGAAGAATTGATATTTATAGAAAAAATATTTTTATTACTTTCAGTAAAGCTCAGCTAACTCAACTACTTTTCGGAGCCAAGCTCGGTATTCATGTTTTGCATCATCTGCCACAGATTTACTGTTGTATGTGCAAAATATACATTTCCTTTGCTCTCAAGTGAAAATATAATGAAGTTTTGATCTTAAATAAAAACAGTTAATTTATTTGTGCGGAATTTTTGCGCTCCTCTGCTTATTTAAAAATATTGTAATTTATTACCAGCATCTTTTTAGCTACCTTCTTGCCTTCTACTCTCTTCATCATCATAATATCACATCACAGACCGACTTTTCATTCACCTTCCCCTATATTCCCTGCGTACAGGCACACTTCTTACGAAATATTGGGTCAACAATATTTGCTCATCAACCRACTGCCTCAACAAAGATATGCGGTAAATAAATATTTTCATTCCCGCTTTCCGCTCTCGTAACGGTGCTTCGCAGCTGGATGCAAATATTAAATTTTTCTTCGTTGCTTCTTCGGCAAACGCTATGGCGTAATAGTAAACAGGGAGCGGAGATGGCGATGGGCACTTCCCTCGCTTTACTTATTTGACATATATTTTCTCGCTCGACGTTTCGACCGAATGCATTTCTGTGCATTCTATACATAGCATATCCCCCCCCCCTATACTAATTTTTGTAGTTTCCGCTGTTGATAAGCGCCCATTCATTGCGTCGCTGCAATTGTCAAGTTGACATTCAAGTTGACAATGTCGACAGTACAGTCAGCCGGAGCAYGGTCCAGTCACAGTATGGCGGAGCCACAGTCGCCACCACCAAGCCGCGGCGACCAGCAGTCAGCTYCCAATGCCACACGGCTAATGCGAGTCACCACTGGGCCACTGTGGCGGCGACAACGTCCTTGCCGCTTGTGTGTATGCCTGTTTAACTGTCTGTCTATCTGTCTGCCTGTCGCGTTGCATGTACGCCTACTTATTTATTTGGTTGTAAATAGATATYTATGTATGTWAATATGTKTGAATTATTTCTATTTATTTTGTTGTTGCCATTGCAATCGCTATATTGTRGTTGCTGTTTCCGCCAGTTGTTGCCACTGAGTTCCGTTTGTTTAATTGCGGTTGACAGTTTTGTTGCACGACAGGCAAACAAAAAATGGCAAGGCAGAAAATGACAAAAATTTAAGGCAACAACGTTCACACACTAAATGACAGCACAGTAGCTGCCATCACAACAATAACAAAAACACTATCCACACACACACACCCACACAAATTTTGTRTAAGAAAGCTTTGTAAACATTGCGGTGACAGTTTAAATTAGTTCAACCGAAAAAAGTGAATTAAATGCTGCGGC